ACCTTTCATATTTTGAATTTCTATGCTTGGGGAAACCCAAAATTTATGGTATTTTATTCAGTTCCCTTAAATGTACATTTGGTTTTCTTCTTTTATTTAATGACTTGGAGTCACTAAGGATATTTTGACCATCATTTTAATCACTTGCCGTATACTGTGTTTTCTTTGCTCGTTATCTTTAATCATATCCTTATCAAAATATTCTGATTACTACATTTTAAAAAGCAACATCACAATATACTTGATGTAAGATATCCCCCTCCCCTTTCCCATTTGCATCATGATGATTCTGCCTGTGGGGATTTTTCCAAACAGATAATTAGTTCCTGGAATTATCCACAACCTTTGGTGTTCAAAATGTCATCTCATCTTACTAAGTTTCCTTATTTTGAAATACATATGGCCCACTCTCCTGAGTAATGAAGAAATTAAATAAATGTATAATATACAGATAAACTCTCTAAAGTTATAAGAAAAATATTCTTTAATTATGCCTAATATTTTAGAGTTTTAGGGGTATTCTAGTGAACTCTGCTCTTAAAGATATATGTAAAAATATATTGGCCTTGAGAATTTTAGGTTTTTTTCCCATCTTTCTTTTGAATTGAATGAATTTTGTTTTTTTTTTTTTTCTGTAGACCGGAAAAATTCTAATTTTTAAGTAGTTACCCTAAAAATTAACATGTAAATATTACTTAGCTAAATCTAAATTTAATCAACAGCCTTGCCCTATTCTAAACAATACGAAGACTTTAAAATGCTTTCGTCCTCATTTTCCCCTCCTGACTTGCTTGTTATTATTCAGAATTTTAATTCTATGTGCTTATTTTTAACCCCACAAATTGGACATCATTAGAATCATTCTACAAGTGGTTTAGATTTTCTCACATTTACCATTATCTTTGCTCATCATCCTACTTGCCTCTCAGAGATGCTGGGATCATTTTCATTCTTCCTGAAGGACAGTCTTTAGAATTTTTTTAATGAGGTTGTTTGTAGTAAGTGCCCTCATTTTTTTATTTCTTTGAAAATTTTTTTCATCTTTATTTTACCCTTGCTCTTGGAAGTCCTTATTTTTGCTGGATATAAAATTCTAGAATGAAAATATTTTTTCCTAGCATGTTAAAGCTATTACTCTACTGTCCTCTAACTTCTGTTATTGTTACTAAGAAATCAGCCATCAGTCTTGTTCCTTTGTAGCTGCTCTGCCTTTTCTACCTGAATCCTTTTAATATTCCTCTTTGCCTTTGATATTCTGCAGTTTTTTTACACTAAATAGAAGGGTGGACTTTTTTTTTTTTTTTTTTTTTTCTTATTTAGAGTTCATTTGATCTGAGAATCTGAGGACTGACATCTCTCAACAATTTTTGGAAAATTCTTAGTCATTAACTCTTTTTAATACTGACTTTCACCTATTCTATTTTCTCCATTTCGAAATCCAATTAAATATATATTAGACCATCTCACTCTGTCCCCCATGTCTCTTCTCATATTTTCTTCAGCTCTTTGACTCTCTATACTGCTTACTGTGTAATTTCTTCAGGTCCATCTTCCAGTTAACTAAACTATCATTCTGCTGTTTCTAACCTGCTACTTAACTTGTTCATTGAGCTTCTAATTTCAGTTATATAATCTTATTATTTCTAAAAGTTCTATTTGATTGTCTTTCAAGTCTTCTTGGACAATTTTGATCAGGTTTTTTTCCTTCATTAATATATTTTTAATATTTTCTTTATTACTTTAGTTATATTTTAGTTACTTTAGTTATATTAAGTGTATTTATTTTATATTCTGTATCTAATAAACCCACCTGAAAGCATGTCTTCTGTAATGGTCTGGTTGTTTCTGCTGATTCTCACTCATGGTGGTTTGTTTTCTCCTACCTTTAGTGACTTTTTATTTATGAATTCATGCTCTTTGGGCTTTTATCTATGGCAGTGGTTCTCAATTGAGGCAGTTTACCCCCAGGGGACATTAGCAATATCTTGAGGCATTTTTGGTTGTCACAACTAGGGAAGTGATACTAGCATCTAGTAGGTACAGTCTAGAGATGCTGCTAAACATCCTGCAATGCGTAGAACAGTTGCCCACAACAAGGAATTATCCGGCTGAAAATGTCAATAGTGCAATTGGAATTTTTCTAGTCTATATTTAAAGTTTATTACTCCCAAGATGATTTGCATTTGCTTTCAATAACCTGGGATTACTATAAACTATTTGCGTTAGTATGAATTTAGGCCTCAAACCCGGATGAATATGGGCTTGTAGTTAGGAATTTTCAGAGCGACTTTTCTTTTCTCCTTTGCGCCCCAACCAAGAATTAAGACCAAAAGAAGTTTGTATAGCTGCTATCATTCTTGTGGGACCTCTGGGAGTTCCGGCTTTGTATGGGAAGTCTCTGATCTGATTCTCTCCCCCATAGCACCCCTCACTTCAGAACTAGGCTTTGTTCCTTGTCCCTGTTTGCTGCTCATTAAAACTTTGGTCTAGGTCATCAGTGATGGGCAGATACCTTAAGGCAAATGTCAGCTCCCATGCCTACCTACCCCTATGGATTTGACTTTTCTTATAATTTCTGTTCTTCAAGAAGGGTCCTTAATTTCTTGACAACTCAGCATGAATTGGAAAATATAATTTATGTTTTATGCAATATACTTAAGTGTGCTATCTTGGGAGGGTGTCAGGGTTTGACTTGTGTCCCCCCAGAAAATGTGTGTATCAATTTGGCTAGGCCATGATTCCTGGTACTGTGTGATTTTCCTGTATGTTGTAAACCTGCCTCTATGATGTTAATGAGGGAGGATGGGTGGCAGTTGTGTTAGTAAGGCAGGACCTGATCTGCAAGACTGGATTGTGTCCTGAGGCAATCTCTTGAGATATAAAAGACAGAAGTGAGCAGTGAGACTGGGGGACCTCATACCATCAAGAAAGCAGTGCCAGGAGCAGAGCATGTCCTTTGGACAGGGGTCCCTGCGCTGAGAAGCTCCTAGTCCGGGGGAGCATTGATGAGAAGGCTGACAGAGAGAAAAAGCCTTACCCTGGAGCGGACGCCCTGAATTTGGACTTTTAGCCTACTTTGACTGTGAGGAAATAAACTTCTCTTCGCTAAAACCATCCACTTATGGTATTTCTGTTATGGCAGCACTAGATGACTAAGACAGAGGGGTTTCTCTGAATGGCTGTGTGCTAGACTCAGAAGTCAGGACTTTCTGTCTTCCTTCTTCTGTATTTTGCAGTAGTTTTCATGTTTCTAGGTGTTGCCTCCCATCAGCAGACCACAGCCATATGGCCTCTCTGTTTTTATTCTTCCCTAAACCCTAATTCCTGGCGTTTGAGACTGGTTGACAGTCTCCAGCATATTCATGTAGCTAAGTGCCCTCAGGAGGAAAACGAGAAGAGTACTCGGAGATATGAACCCTTCCCCCAAGGCTTCCCCTGCTGCACCCAGGACTAGAGGCATCCTGAGTATTTCCCTTCTAATCTCTATAGGTAGTAAGTGTTATGGAGTAGAGAGGGACAAGGAAACTTTATAGGATTTTAAAGTTAAATGTATTCAATTTAAAGGACAGTTCTGTTTTTTTTTTTTTTTTTTCTGTTCAGATTTTATTTGAAATCTAATTCCAATTTTCAAAGCTACAAAAGGGGGGAAGACATCTATATTATTTTTGCTAAGTCACAATATCCTAAAACAAAATACTACTACTGCCAGCAGATCCATTATACACATAAAGGACTGGTATTCTGAGATTGTGCACTTCCTACTTTTTGCTGTTAAATTAACTTTTTTAATGAAATAATAATGGTGGTAGTTGCAGCTTTTTTATTTATTTTCAAATTTTACTTATCATTCATTTATTTTTGTTTTAAAGTTTCCTTACTTGGTAAATACAAAGTTGTCAATATCAACCTGGATTTTTTTGAAATTTTACTAGCCCCTGAAATCCCCAATCCCCAACAACACACACTAAGTAGAGAAAGCAGATGGTGAAGTAGATTAATGCTGTGACGTTTTAGAACAGAAATCAGACAGGTGAACATTGGGTCATCTGAAAGCACGTCCTCTTGGTTACATGAAGAGCCTTATTGGTCATTCAGATGTTTTCAGATCTTACGGTGTTAACAATACTACGCAGCCTTTGCTACTGGATGGTATCGAGTTATCAAGTAATCCTCAGTCCTCTCTCGGCGATTGAAATTATATTAAACAACTTCTTCCATGAGACTGAGCCTTAAGCAAAATCACCTGGGTACTTCCTGCACTCCTCACATATATCTGGTAGCATTTATGCTCCCAATTTTTTAAGAACACAATTCTGAGAGTCACATACCCAGTATTCTGCCAATAACTCACTGTATACCTTCCTCATTTGTAACACCAGGAGGTTGGGCTAAGTAATCTCCAAGTTTCTTTTCAGCATAAATGTAGGTTGTGATTGTAATTACATGTACATTTAAAAAAAAATCTTAAAGAGATCTAGGTATTTCAAATGTATTTGTATTAAATCGAAGTTCCATGTTACAAATTTGGATGCAAAAGACATTAATTTTCCTAATGCAGGCTAATATTTAAAAGGCATATTGCACCTGTAATATTGGTGCCACCATTTTTGGCAGTCTCTCTTTCCTCATTTCTTTGTGAGTATTGACTATGAAGCTAGCTGTCTACACAAGATGACTTGAGTTCTCATTCTCTGGTGTAAAGAATGGTCATATTTAAATACAGCATGTTGTTTATTGCAAAGGGTCACAGGACTTATATTTTAAAACCACCATAGGCTTGATACTGAAATTCTTATATAAATGTTTAGTCATTGTTAGAATGTAGACAAATGACTGCTTGCAAGTGCACCAGCCAGAGATTTGAGAGACCTCTGAATTCATGACAAAGTTGTTAACTGGTAAGTTTGTTATTTCCTACAAGTACAAGGAAAGGAAGTATTAAAATAACTCATACCCATTTGAGAGAGGAAATTAATGTTTCCTCAAAAATTCTTTTCTAGTGAAGGAAGCCCATCCCCCAGAGTGGAGCTGCTGCATAACATCGACCCGAACTTTGTAGATATATCACCATGTGAGTACCTAGTTCTTTGCTCCTTAATCTCTTTGGCTCACACAGATACCTAGTGTATCTCTATCGCAGTTTTCTCTTCATCACCTGAGTTGATAAAGGCAAACAGTTCTCCCTGCACATGTTCTGCTAATCTCATTGTGGCTTCAGTGCCTCAGAGGCGGCATGCTGTGAAAGGAGCACCAGGTTATGAATCAGAAGAGGTGAACTCTATTCTTAACTCTGCCACTTACTAACTGTATGACCTTTAAGCCATTTTACTCTCTGCATTTCAGTTACTTTTTCTGTAAAAGCAAAGAAACCATGGGATCTCTGAGGCTCCTCCTGTCGTTGTCCTGTTCTTACTGAAGAGCTCCACGGCCTTCTTCCAGAAAATTCATGGTCAAATAAGCCAGGGTCAAGTTCCAGAGTAGTGTGAGCCATCATATCCTTTGACTGGGCTGCCCTGGTGCTACCCAGCACCTGCTGGGTCTCCAGGTGTGTCTTAGTCTGGTTTCTCTAGAGGAACAAAACCAGTGAGGCATATATCTGTATTTATATCTGTGTGTACATAGCTATATCCATATCCATATATATATATCAGTAGAGAGAGAGATTTATTTCAAGGAAGTGGCTCACACAATTGTGGTGTGAGGTCAGTTGGCAGTCTCCAGAACTCTGCTGGCTCACAGGATTGTGGGGCTGGCGAATCCAGAATCTGCAGGCCAGCTGGCAGGGCGGAGACTTCTGCAGGCTTACATCCCAGGTACTAGAGGTAAGTGACAAGAAGAGTGCAAGGTCACAGGCTCAAGAGAGAGAACAAAGTTTCCCAGAACATCCATTTACATACTGGAGGCATGCCACACCCCAAGGAAGCTCCCCTTCTATGATGTGACTGGCTGATCACATCATAGAAAGTGATGACATTATATTACATTATGGAAGAGCACCCAGTCCAATGTCTGCCAAACCACTGAGAATCACATCCTAGCCAAGTTGACACAAAACATTAACCACCACAGTCTACCCTTCGTCAAATTGGCACTTATACACATCTCCTTAAACCATACATAATCTCAAAAAAAGTCCTACTTATGCCTAACATGATACAACTAACATGTGTACAACCGAAAACACACTAGCCCCTTTTACATCTTGTATTTTATAATAAGTAATAGGATAAAGGAGGGAAGAAAACAAAGATATTTGCTGTATACATGTCAGCTGGTCATGGTTCTTTGCCTGGTAGGGTGACTCAAACCTACATTCCTGAAGGGTCTGAGCCGTTAGTAGTCCTGTCTAAACTGGGTTGTTGTGGTTTTCCATTGACTTTAATCACAGGGCATGGTAGTACCAAAAGCCCTGAGGGATCGCCTGTATTCCCAACAAACTCTCTTTTACCTCCATTGTATAATAACAGTCCAGTTTCCCCTTGATAATCAGAATCAGTCACACCAGTCAATATATGGTAACTCACCCTTTGCCTGTTGATTCAGAGGCACAAGGAGCTCAAAGTGGCTGGGTAGCATTCTTAACTTCCAGTTCAGTTGAATCAGTGCTGTGTTTCCTGGTGGAAGCGTTCCTCTCTTTGGAACTAAGACCTCTAGACCCACAGAGCATAGGGTTGCGGAGACAGGAAACAAAAATTTTGCGAGTGGATCGCAAGGAGTAATAGTGACTGGTGCCACTCCCATTCCCCCCCCCCCCGGCCTTGATTCCTGGACCTGTGAATCCTGGCTATGGGAGAAATGGCACCATATATTGGTTACTGATTCAGAGTATATACAGCCTCCTAACCATCACAAGGTTTGACTTCCCTAGAGATCCTGGAAGTATTTGAGCTCGATTCTCCCTATGGCCTAAATTATACCGGTGGGGGAAGTGGAGGTGGCAACCAAACCCATTGCCATCAAGTCAGTCCAACTCATAGCAACCCCTTGTGTGTCAGAGTAGAACTGTACTCCACAGTGTTTTCAATGGCTGTAATCTTATAGAAGAAGTATATTGCCAGGCTGTTCTTTCATGGTGCTGCTGGATGGATTTGGTTAGTCTTTCAGTTAGGTGCCCAGGGAACCATAGGAAGCCACATTCATTCCTGGGGGAAGGGACCATTGAGTTCTCTCAGATCACAACAGGTTCTAACAGTCCTGCCTAAATACTATGCTAGTGGCCCTAATGCCCCTAGATAGTGAATTTGGGCCTGGAAAACCTTAACTATTAGACCCTTTGCCAAGTTCCATCATAGTGCTTTATCTTGAAACTATCTTCAGAAAATATTGCTCTTACATTCCTTTTATTCACTTGCATGCTCACATCCCCTCCTTTCTAGACATACTGCTATCCTTAGTTCAGGCTCTCCTTATGTGTTTGTCCTCTTCAATCTGTACTACTTCCCACCACTGAGTTAACATTTCTAGCTTGACACTAGACTAATTTGTACATTAACTAATTTAACAGAGATCTTTAGTGCCTCCCATTGCCCACAGTAAATCTAAATGTGTCATCGGGTATCCGCACCCAGCTCACCTAGCCAACCTCCATTCTTAGCATCCTTGCCATCCTTGTAATGTTCTTGCCCTAACTTTTCACTTCTACACAGGCAGATTATTCATATGCTCTTCTCTATGCCTGAAACACCTTTTCCCTGACTCTCTACAAAATTTCTCCTCCCTTAAAACCCAGCCCAAATATCCCTCCTCTGGGAATGTTTTCCAGAAACCCCCAAAGCAGGAGTCATTCTTTTCTCTGTGCATCCCTTTGTCCATGTCTCTCTATAACTTTCCTCAAATTGTACTTCTTCATGTGCATGCCTGTACTTCCTGCTAAGATGAGAGCTCCTGGAGATTAGGGACTATGTCTTTACGTACTTTTTTATCCCCATCAGTTAACACAAATACCTGGCACTTGGTAGTCACTCAGTAATGACTGAATGGACAATTAGAGGGGAGTTGGAATGGAATTAAGAGCAAAGTGGAAGCATTAGACCTGCAAAACAAAGGTTCTTAGACCTGAAAAGGATGGTTCTTAAACTTTTATCTGCCCTAGCACAGCTAAGGGATATGACATATTCCAGTCTGCAGCTGGCTCACTAGAGCAGTAATTCTTTACCAGGGGATCATATCAGAATCTCTCCTCGTGGCCAGAGGGGAATGAAGGGGAGGAAGGAGCAGTTTTTAAAACTTCTTAGTAATTTAATGTGCCGCAAAACCCATTATAACCCAGGTCCAGGGGATGTGTGAAATATGCTGCCCACATTATTACTTAAAAAACAAAAAAACCAAACCCGTTGCCCTCAAGTTGATTCCAACCAATGGTGACCCCATGGTTACAGAGCAGAACTGTGCTTCATAGGGTTTTCAATGGCTGATTTTTCAGAATTAGATTACCAGGACTTTCTCCCACCACCAGGTGGGTTCGATCTACCGACTTAGGTTAGTGTTGTTGTTGTGTGCTGTTGAGTTGATTCTGACTCATACCAACCCTGTAGAACAGAGCTGCCTCATGTGGTTTCCTGGGCTGTAATCTTTACGGGAGCAGATCTCTAAGTCTTTTCTCCTGAGGAGCCGCTGAGTTGGAACTGCTGACCTTCTAGTTAGCAGCCAAACACTTAACAATTGTGCCACCAGGGCTCCTTTTCAGGTTAGTAGATGAGTGCAAATCATTTGTGCCACCCAGGGTCCTCTTGCCCACATTATAATGAGTATAAAATATTTTCACCCACTACGTTCCACCTACAAATTAAAAGTCTTAAGCCCCCCCCCCACCCCCCGACTAAGCTGTATTTGAACATCAGAGTGGGAGCTTGCTTGAGAACTGTATTCCTGTATTCACGACCACAGCACTGCTTGCTGCAGGGTTCTTGGTACAACCTGCTGTGATTCTTGCTATCTTCCCTAAAGTGCCTCTAGCAAAATAACAGTACAGCAAAATGTTTCTCCAGTCTAAAAGTTAGTCAGAGAATGTAAATCAGGAGACAGAGTTGTCTTAGGTTTGCTACCCATAGGTTGTAAGGACTTCAGCCAGTCCCTTCACTTTTGGGATTGCACTAGGACTTACTAATACCCACATTCAGAGATGTGACCTGGTTCACCTCTCCACCCACCCTTGAAGCACATTCTAGGCCTTCATGTTGGCCTCTCCTTGCTCAGGCCAGGGCTCTCTGGCATTGGGCCTGGGGCTGCCTCACCAGCTTGGAATCCTGCTCCAACTCCTGTGTGTAAGGGGGACATGTCAGGCCCTTGCATTGATGTATAAGCACATTCACTGTTGGTCCACATCAATGGGCATTCTCTATTGTCTGTGACTACTGGTAGCAAAGTGCCACCCTCGTCATCATATGTGGGGAAACACCATGGGCCTTTTCTCCCCAGTTTTTTTTATTTGCTTCAATCTACTGTGATGCAGAGGTAGAAACAAGGAGAGCTTTTTATGGGGCCCGTTCCTTTTTAGGATGATGATATAAGTCCATTTCCTTTTCTATGAAACTAATTTGTGGGGAAAATTTAAATAAGAAAATATGTTTTTATAGGAGAGCCAAGCCTAGAAATAATATTCATAGAATATGTTCTATGAATATGTTCTAGAAGCTTTTATGGAATCAGAAAGCAGCCAATATAAAGTGTAATGTAAGGATTAACAATTTAGTCAGTGTTATCCTAGAAACATTTCTTTGGTTTCTAATTCCAGCATATCCCAGATTGTACTTACTTAAAGGAGAAGAGGGGAATGCTCTACTCCTGCCTTCCCAAAAGCCACTTCATGGTTTCCTCATCTGTGAGCTGAAGATAATGAATTAAATTATCTCTAAGGTCTCCTCTGGCTTCACCATTCTGTAGGTCTCTCTATAAATAGGACCTCAAAGGAGCAAAGCTGCTCACTCAGTTTCTCTCCTTTTTTCACCCTGCTAGGAAGGGTGTACTCGTTAATGAGCAGTGATGTAGCCAAAGGCATGGTGGCAAATAGATGAATACAAGTGAAAATGTTAGAAACATTATAAACACCAGAATAATTTGAATTATTATATA